TATTATTATATATATAATAAATTGTTTAGTTGTCAACAATAGTACCGCTACCAATACTGCGCGGAAACTGCCTGTAATGACTTTATTATTGTTATTTATTATTAATGAAATACAATTTCTGAAACTAGTTGGTAGTTTGAATTTTAAATATTAGGTACATTGATAATTGGTTTAGCATAATAAATTACTGATCTGATATTAATTCTATTTTACCTACTGTAAATCCTATAGACAGGGCCGGATCCAGGGGGGCTAGGCCCTCCCCTCCCCCAGGCATATTATTTCTCCAATTTTCATAGGGAAATGTACATAAACATTGACCGCTTTGGAAAAAGCAACAATATGAAAAGACGTTTTAATTTTGTTATTTAATATATTTTAATTATTCATTGATTTATTACATTAAGATTATACTGATATTGGAAAAAAAATTTAAATGAAAAATAAGTGTATATTTAAAAAAAAATTGTTAGACCCCCCCCCCCTATATCTTAAAGTCCTCTTCAAAATTAATTTCTAATCTGTTGTCAAACCCTGCTTAAAGTTTCAAGAGAAATTAGACTAATAATTTATTAAGAATCATTTTTGGTTTTTAAATTCATGGGTTTTTCTGTACTCGGCAACTGCATCTGTCATTTTGTTTATGTTATTCCATTCTACAATTTATATGTACCAACATTTTTGTATTTAATTCATTTATAAAATTATATATTTAATATTTATTAATGTTAACTTGTTTACTTGAAAATAATATTTAATATGTCCCTACTTACCTACTTATATTCTTTTTATTATTTGAACAAAGTTAATAAATCATAAGGTAATTTTGCCACGTATTATCAATTTACATAACTTCTGGTATATTTTTTTGAGATTTAAAAAAGAAATGACGATTAGATTAACGGATGTATATATAATGTATTGCATACTCTCAAGTTAAAGGCTTTGTTGTCATAAATTGTTGTACTGGGATGAAACGTAAACACTATTCAAGAGGTAACTAAAGGAAGGGACTCATAAAATAAATTGTATACATAATTCAAACGTTAGTGCATAATATAATACAATTAACTTGAGTATTTTAAAGTTAAGATATATTTCAAATTATCTTCGTATTTTATATAGAAGCCTTGAAAAATAAGCACAGCTTGTAAACCACAGAGATATCAAAATAATTTTAATCGCCCTGTCTACCATTTACAACACGCGAAATTACAATAATTTACAATTGAATTTTCTTGTGAAGTTTAGTTTATATAGAGGTTATATTTGGTATAAAATATAAATATTACTGTATTTACGCTTTTATGTTTTACACTTTCCGCCGCGTAATTTAATGCTAATAAGTAATAGCATTTTGATTAAATGGCACTTTTTTTATAGAAATAATCAAATTATACCATTCATTTTTTAACAACCATATTTTCGTGCGAAATTGTATTAAATTCGATTTAAAAAAACCTCAATATTTATGCACTTATACTCGTGTTTGAAAGTCAAATATTATGACTTTAATAGAAATATTCAAAATAAGATTTGTATTTAAAATTGTTCTTAGAATGTTTTTACTCAAGAAATTATGAAAAAATATTTTGATTAGTATTTTATTTATAATAAAAATAAGTGAAATCGATTTTATATAGATACGTACCTAGTTATAGTTTATTTAATTATATTTCCGAAGCCCAAGTACATACACTTGTATTATTTATTTTACTGTTTTTGCGAAGTAAAAAGTATTTACACAAAATTTGTATAGAAATAATAATTTTTATAATTTCTAAAAATGTAGATACCTATGTTATTATTATCTCGAATATGTTTTATAAATGTTGATCCTACGGAAATTTTGATCTAAATATAAACTCTTTGACATCGGGGTCATGAAACGTCTGACATTTTACATAACAACATTTTATCACAGAATATAACAATTTTAATAGAACATAAAGTTTATTAGTTTAACATTTTTGAATTTTATATGAGGATATAATTATTATAATTCAAATATGTTAGGCTAAATACATACAAATCCGTTGTATTGTATTTGAGTATGTTGTGACTTTACCAACACGATGAATAGAACCGCGTATTTTCATATTCTCATAAAATATATATTAAAGATTTATTGTTGAGATATTTTAAATTTTAACAAAGCGGCTTAATGGTTGTGTTAATATGTGCCAGATGGTAAGTTTACTGTGTGAATATTCATCCAGGTGGACCAAGATTTACCTGCCTCATAGGGTGTATGATGCAACCCTTGTGTGCCTATTCTCTTTTAACAAGACATTCTCCTTTTATTATATTTACACACGCAGTAAAATCTGATTATTTTTTATTCATTCAATTCTACCCTCTTTTTGGAAGTCGCATCTGCATTCTGAAGGTTATTTCTTCCTGACAAATTATTTAAATAAAATATTTTTTCAAAATATTAGTTGGTGACAGATATATAAAAATAACATGTGTCTTTTATCAAAAATGATTGCGTAAATACCTATAATAATTATTTTATACATTCTATGATAATTTTCTATACCTACATATTGTAACATAATATATTTTAGCTCACCATTTTCTTAAATGTAGGTATAAAATAAACATTATGCCTTATTTATTATTCTCTCGTAACGTTATAAAAATACATTTTAACTTCTGAATATATTTTTATTTTATTTTTAATAAATCTGAATGACAAGTAACACAAAACGTTATTATTACACGGTTCAATTTTATTTTATAATGTTATAATAAAAACAAATGATAATTGTCTATGTAAATAGGTAAAAAAAACTTAAAATACCTATAGTATGTATAATGTTTTTTGATTAAGTAAATTAATTAATATTAAAAACTAAAAATAAACTGTACTTTTACTGTAAATTGTATTATAAGTATACCATAATATAATAATATGTATTCGCTATATGAATTGAATATTGTGCAAAATATATTCAATTTCAGTTTTATTTTGCTATTCGAGATTTTAATAAAATATTGTTTCGGAGTCTTAATTGGAAATATTGTCATTTATTGTCTACATTTGGAAATATTATAATCGAGTATTTTATATTTTTATTAATTCAATAATGGTGTGTATACTAGCATTTTCAATGATAAACAATCGAATTTTTCCTTAACATTTTTCACACAAATTATACCAGAAATCGACAAATCGATTTCATGTTTTAAGATTTAACTAAATCTACAGTAATATCTATAGTAATTTTAAAAAAATAAAACAAAAATTATTAATATAATAATACGTTTAAAAGATCTGATTAACCAAAAAAAAAAATATTTAAAACTAATAAATTCGTTCAAAGTAATTTTTTGAGCCACGAAGTTAAAAATATGGTTGATAATGAATGTTATAAATGGAAGTAAAGTATAGTAGTTAAGATCTGGGACGATTTTATATAATATAGGTTTTGTCAATTAATAATTTATTTTGTATGTGATATGATTTTATTGTATTGTTAATTTTTGGTACGTCAAGAATATACTATTATTTTATTGTACTAAATCATACATTTTTTAGTTTTACTACCTAGAAGTATACTTTTTTACTAACGTGATATTATAATATTTGTTGAACAAATCACTTTATTTGTTTCTTAATTTTTATCATTACATTTTTTGATGTTTGAACAATGGTAGTTTAGCTTTAGTAAAAACATAATGTGAAAATATTTTCTCTATTAATTCTTAAGTTTTCTTTCCATGCTGTTATATACCTAGTTAATGTGAATTTATTTTCTTAAAATATCTGAAATATGTTTTATGGCGTAATTATCTGCTTATATTTATAAAACAAAATCTTTCTTATGCATTTTACAATATTAAAAAAAATCGAAAATATTCAGCTATACATATTATCTCCGTCAAAATACTCGTATATTTATGCAAAATTAAATTTGGAATTAATTGTTTGCATTAAATTCTACCGATGCTCTCAAACATTTTGTATCCCAGTGAAGCGTAGTCACATTCAGATAAAAATTACCTGCTTAGTGCGTTTATGTATAAATCTATACCTACACAAATAAATTGTTTTGCTATTTCATAAAAAAATCGATTTCATAGTAGGTATATAGATTTGTTAAATATCGAATGAGTATAATATATAATATATCGATTTAAACAACCATTAAAAATAACACTTTAATGGGCTCAATTATTAAAAACACTAAAAGAGTAGGTTAGTTACCTTTAGGATAGATGAAACATTAAATGTCTATTAAGACTCGATTATAATTTACTTAAAAAAACAAATCTAACATAATATTATTATGTGTCTCTTTTGATTACTTAATTTTTGTTTCTTCGTCCCATCGAAAGTAAAATATGACTAGGTGAATTACAAACAGATACACGTTGTAGAACAATTCATACCATGTATTTAATACAATATAAAAAATACTTATATATATGTATACTTTTATTCTACCGTTACCATGGTTACTGTAATACTGCAGGATAATGATATGAAACGTTTCGGGGATGGAATATCGTTAGCTTGTAACCTTAATATGTATTTAGATATAGCGTGTTATTCAACAGTATATTATGTACCGTACAGTCATCTTTTCGTATGCATACGCTTACATCATTGGCTGTTTGGAGTGTGAAGTGTGAAGTGTGGGCAAGACGAAGATCACGGTGTCGTCAGCGACCACCAATATGTCCATGTTGTGGTATAGTGTGTTTGCGGTAGTGCGTGCGCAACATTGCGCTTGGCCTACTGACCTGTTTGCTCAGGACCTGCCGAGTGCCGACTTCAGTCTGATTCTAGTCGCCGAACGTGACACGCGAATATTGCGTTTATTTTGATGTGTCGTACTTCTCACCTCCCAGTGAACTATTATTAATTTATTTCGTTTTCATATTCATAAACATTGTTAATTTTAATTTTATTATTTTCCTGTACGATTCTGGCTGAACATTTTCTCATTGATAAATTCGCATTTTGATGTAACGATGAGCAGTGAAAAATAATGTCCTCTATAAAACTGCACAGCAGCCTGTCTTCAAGTCCATTTAATTTCGAAAATGATGCCGACGAGCCATTTGAACCATCTTCTCCCGATTCACTGTGCAGCGTATACTTAGACACGAACAATTCTCGGTACGTTTTTCTCGGTATTATTCAAATATCTTCTGGTACGTAATTTATACCACTTTATAAGCATTTTTTTTTTTATAATCAAATTATAAATAAATATATTCAACAGATATATTATTTAACTGTGTGATATGTTTGAAATTAATAGTGACGGTTAAGTTTCGAAAATAGACACTAGTATTTGATAAAATTCATTTTTCGATTTTAAAAGTATCAAATTTGTTGACTTTGTGTAAAGATTTTGAGGTTTTGTTTTTGTTTAAATATATTTCTATTTACACAAGTATTCGGGACTGCAGAATAAATAAAATTAAAATCATTTTTGCATGTACTCAATGTCTCAGTATAGGTATTTATTGGTATTTATTTTATATTTAAATTCAGAATTGAGATTAGTTAAACTCGTTCAACTAAAGATATTAGTTATTTATTGTGAAATGTAAGCCTGACGTCTGTTTTGTTTACGTTTGTCAGATAAAATATAATAATTATTAAGTATTAAAAAGTAACCTTAAACTTTCGGTTCATTACTAACATACAACCTATATAGTATAAAATCATAAAGGTTGATAATAATATTCTTAAAAATAGTCAAATACGTTATATTTTGCTTAGTTGTAACGTAATAATACAATACCGTATTATAATATTGTACATCGTCTATAAGGGCTATTTATAGGTGACTTTCCTTGTCAATATGGTTTTATTGTATTCATACAAATACAAACGACTTTTATTTTAATATTTTGCATATGTTTTTGACTCATAAGTGATTTCTTTAATTTACATTACAGTGAAATAATAATGGAAATTTAAATTATTTAAAACGTGTACTTTTTTAGTGTGTGTTTTCTAATGTCTACATGATTACATATTAAATTACTATTATTTGGCAAATACAGCAAATAATGGTACGTATTAAAAACTATATACCATATAGTTTAAGTACATTTGCAAAATACAAAGAACCCAAATTAAAGCATAATTATGTTTGGTATGAATGACGTATGTATATATTTTGTATACTTTCATAAATTTGTTTGGTTTCAGCGATATTAAAAATATCTGATGAGTAGATTGTTATTGGCTATTATATTATTATGTATGAATTGAACAGAAATGTGAGATTTATGTTACACTGATGTCTTCTTTTTTACATTTCAGTAATTAAACGTAAAATAATGTACATCTTACATATTTATACATTTTTTTAATCTCGGAATTTAGTGAAAAAAATTAAAATATAGGTATGCATATTTTATACTTAAGTACACATAATTATATTTAATATTATTTATTTCATTGATAAAACTGCTCAAATGCAGTTAGTGACTAATCTTGTATATTATTATTTATTTTTATATTCGTTTATACAAAATGAAATAGAATAAACAATAAAAAATGTTTTTACAATTCACTGTTGCTAGTTTAGACTACTTTAAAACACGTACAGAGGTTTAGAGCCTCATAGAATTTATTTAACCGAGGGTAATTTATTTTGTCTTGTAAACAATACGTGTGTTCTTTAAACTTGTAAATTATTATTTTAATTTTACACTTTTACATTTTTTAAATGTACGTGATCAAAGTATGAAAATAAAATAGGTAGATACTATTATACCAACAGTATTGTATTCTGTTTATTTAAACAAAATATATTGGTTCACCCACAGGTCATTTAGTCATTACTGCTAACATTATTATTTATGATCATAAATTGTATGTTACAAAATAACATCATTGCTTATTTTTTGTTGTATTGTAGTGTAATTGAATATATTTTATATTATGTTGTTGATTTCTACCAATATTAATTAATAATTATATTATTGTTTTTATTTTTATTTTTATTTTTAAACGCGCAATACGTATAGTATCTATAATGTCAGATAGTATATTATTATGATTATGATAATGGATAGGTAATGTGTAGAATATATACTATAGTAAACAAATTTAATATAACATATATATTATATGTATGTACATTAATAGTTATTTGTATACAGTTAATTAATATGTAAGCAATACTCGAGTGGGTTTGTTAAGCTTAAATATAGGAAATTTAATTTTGGTTTCAAATAATAAGATAGTGTCAGAGAGCATCACAGCTGTTTCAAAACCATCTTAATATCCAATAATCATTGGTCCAATCTATGGAAAATAAGAATGAATGATTCTAAATCAACGTTTATCGCCTTTTTATTAATTCCAAGTGACTGTCCTCCAGTCTTGCTAATAACTTAATCCCCACTACCCAGACAATAAAATATTTAAGTTTGAAGTTCGATAAACGCCTAAACAACATCTAAAATATAAGAAAATCGATCAACTATCCATCTGCTCCGCCTATTTTTCCATTCCAAGATATCCTTCAGAAATAAACTATTCATTTATATAGCTATTAGACCATTGTGCTATAAGACTATGGTGGTATCCAGATATGGGGCTCTGCCAAACCTTTTAACTTAAAACTATTCCGGCCTTCCATAAATTTGTGTTCATTAAATTGTCACTGCTCCTTGGTTCATTAAAAACAATAATCTCTACAATGACTTAAAATTCCAATGCTCACTTAATTAACCAAATCATTCTACCTTTCATTTCATTCAATGTTTACCCACCTAAAATCGATTATTTTTTCCTCACAATCCCTGATAACCCTTAAAGACGTGTCAAATGGACCTGGCCTAGATATTTACTAATTTAATATGTTGGGTAGCACTACGAGTCCCAATTCAGTTATTTATAACTTTAAACATGTAATCAAAATTGCTTATTGTACCTACATTGTTATGTATAGATTGTAATTTTGTATTTTTTATATAAGTAAATAGAATATGAAATTGAAATTGAATTTTGTATTGAAATCTAACAAGTGCTTTAAATTTAGATATGTTATTTGGTTACATTATATTACATTACATTACTCGTTACCGTTTTGAATACATTTAATCAGTCTTCGTTAACTATTTCCATTCTCAAAAATAAGAATTCGTAGCATTTTGAAGTTATATTTGTGTAGAATACAGTTATTGAAATTTGTATTTAAACCTACCTCTATTATAACAATTTATGCAGATATACTGGAATATTTTCTTTTCATTTCGGTAGAAAAACGTACTTTTACCAAGAAATGCATAAAATAAGAGTTTTTTTCCAATTCCATGATATATATTTCCTTGTTAGGTACTCAATTAAAATTAAAATATACACAATGATTTTACTTTTATGTATGGAACTCACGAAAGATTTTACATTTTTAATCATTTCCAAGAACATGAAATAATTGCTAAATTAAAAAAAAAACAGTTTTACGGTTGTTATTGCATCATTATATCGTTAATAAATATTTTTGTAAACTTTATTGCCTCGTTTTTAATATTTTCCAAAGTTTAAATAACCAATTGGTATATTATATTCTCTCCTAAAAACAGAATTTAAATTTTTTGAAATACGCAATTGTAAAATATTGTATTTACAAAATATAATATCGCCTTTTCAATTTATTAGCGTTTTTAATTTAAAATACTTGTTGGCCCAAAGTGATTTGTAAAAATGTTAAACACAATGACTGCATGAAAGTCGTTGAAAAAAAAGTCTAACCAAATAATTTAGATAGGAGGTGGTTATATTCGGTTATGAAGTAATTTAAAAAAACAAAATGCGGATGTTAAAAACTAGAACGTTTTGGTTAACTGTTTCATGTTTGCCATGTTTCACAATATTGACCCTCATATGCGGGTGTACAAAATGTAGTAAAAATACGACAGATGATAATAACACGATGAATAAAAATAAAAAAAGAGAGATTTTGACTTTAGACTGTTAAGCAAAAAAAAAACCCCCCGTCGTAGTAGGTACAAAAAAAGAAAACCTCATCTGGAGTGTGTATGATATTATCGAACGTCAGCGATATTTATTATTAGGTAGCGTGTTTCGTTCGAGATGCCGACATGGCCAAAAACGATTTGATAATTAATAATTAGTAAGCACGGAACGGCATAGGCGCGTTGCGAACATACTTATAAATTACACAACGCGAACGGTACGCGGTTGGGAATAGGGAGAAAAAGAGAGAGAGTAGGCAAGAGACGGTTGTGGTGTAAATTGCTCGGGGACGTGATATATTTTATTTATCGTTTTCGTCGTTGGCCGGCGTCAAGTGTACGGCGCAGCGTTATTATTACCGAAAAACAAAAACCGCACGTTATCAACATTGACACTGACTGTGGACGGTACCGGCCTATAACGACAGCGGCCGCCTGATGGGTGGTGAGCGGGGTCGGGGTGTGAGGCGGAGGTCGCGTGCGAATATAATGTATAGAGCGTTGTGCACCTTTGGCGCTGGCGGCACCGGTCGACCGATGTTCGCGCTCCCGCTACGTCGCGCGGCGGTGATAGTGATGTACCTACACGTACGTCATGTAACGTATTCACAACGTATAACCATGTGGTATGGCGGTAGTCGCCATCGCTCGTCGTTTACACCAACAATGATTATTAATTACATGACCGAAGCGGTGGTGGTGCACACGCGCGCCTTGAATTTCGGGCAAAACCGAAACGTGTCGCCGCGTATAATGTAGTTCAAGAGTAACAGACAGTCGCAAATTATGTGATATCACATCGGACGCGCGTGCGCAAGCTTGTTCGGCGGCGGCGGATTCCGCGACTTAGAGGTTATAATATTTTTATCGGTCTCGGGCGAGCGGGGAGTAGAAGTGGTGGGGCGGAGTAGTACCATTATACGTTCAAACCGAAACATGAAGGGCGCAGTGATCCGGTGCCGAGGGGGTGGGGGAGACTCGCCAAGCGATAGTGTCACGGACAAACACGGGGGGCCCGCTCGCCCCCCTTTTCTCGCTCACTAGTAGTGCGTGGCGCTGATAAAGTGGAAAAATCGAGGGGGGGTGAAAGTCTACGTGAGAAAAAAAATTAGTTATAGGAGGGATGGGGGGGTCTAGTGTCATCAGGCGTAGAAGGGTTGGAGGACTGGGTTC